CTAAAACAAACACTATAATGAACGAACGTTAACTTCAACAATACGTCTCTCTCTGACCACAGTTTCATTACTCATTACCTACACACACATTCCCGCGTCACGTTGTCACCCTCTTATATATACCAGACTACCCTATCTAGTAAATGCTAGGGCATTCGTGAAGGTACAAGATAGTTCTAGAAACTAGAGGGCGTGAGAATAGTCACTGACGCAACAGTACTTATGTAGTATCTAAGCATATCTTGTGTTTTCGTCCTCCTTGTATTAATAAAGGAATATTTCAAAATTTGGTAAGGAAAGTTGTTCAGTTCATGTTGCTCTAGCTACCTGTTGTTTTGTGTTATTCACTTAGAATAATGCCTTTTGTCTTCCCATGGTAAAGATAGCTGCAAGGTAATTTCTATTACGTGAAGTTAGACAGTTATCTTTTCCCCAAGCGATCAGGTGATTTCTTGAGTTAACTTTTCTTATGTTTTCTTTCAAATGATCAGTCATGTGGTAATGCTAGTTGCTCTGAGTAAGTCTGAATTAATGAGAAAGTACAATGATATTTCTCCAGTCTGGAACAGGATATAAACAGATTTAGGCTTTTATGCAACCTCATTTGAATGAGCTATAGATAACTTCAAACATCTGTTGTGGGAAGTAAAGCACATTTTCAATGTGTTTATTCGAATAAAGACTGCTTATTGTGATTGTGATTTTGTGTTCAGTCTTATTTCTCAGAAACACAGTCAGTCAGAAAATAAAGAATTATTTCACAGCAGATATCTTGGTGAATATCCAGTTATTCAGCAGACCTATCTTGCACTCTTAGGGGAAATCAGTGGTATCTGAAAATACCACATTTATACCTATAAAAATGTTTTTCATTCAACCAAGTACTTCTTCCAAAATCAATTGGGATACCATAATTGTATCACTTGTCTTCTTTTTCATTGTAAGCTAGCAGCAGTTGGATTGGCCGAGCCAACCTGCAACTGGTCCAACAACCCACAACAGCTTCTGCAGCCATTGTTAACAGTAATTACAATTCACAATAAACATGATACCTCAAGACAAGAAAATCACCCAAACAAACAAGCACACAAAAAGACACTCAAGATACATAAACAAACAAGTATGTTTACAAAAATGATACTCAAAGCACATATACAAATAAGACACCCAAAACACATGTACAAACAAACAAGATGCCCAAAGAATACATACAAACAAGAAGCCACCATGACATATATAAAAAGAATACATTCAAGTACATGTGCCTCCCTAAATTTGAAGAGGGCTTCAAAGGTGTGTGTATAAAGTAATAAGATACTCATACAACATACAGAAACAAGAGTACATTCAAAGATGCATATCAATATTTGAAGGTGCCTACTGAAGTTAAATATAGGTAATGTTTATGATACATGTATAACGTAATATGTATGGAACTTATATGTAAAATAATGTCAGAAGTACATACAGAAATTATTAAATACTCAAAGTCCATGCAAATAATACTGTATATCACAGCCACTAACCTCGTTTCTTTTGCCTACGAAATCTATGTAAGGCATGCAGTCGTTGATTATGTTGATGTTCCTGTACTTCATCACCATTTTCTTCCTCACTGCTGTTACTGCTACTTTCTATCATGGAATCTAACAAATTGGCTCTTGCCTGCAATTGCATATAATAGTTTAAAACATTTTTACATGATATATATAAAAATTCAACTCCATTATTACATGCATGGATAGATCAACTGAAGAAAAATAATAACTAAGATATTCTCACAACTTATTAGATTTTATGACCCCGTGTGTGTTACTGATGTTTATATGAAGAAGGATAGAGTATACAACCATGCACTTCAATGCAACTAGTTAATAACTACTTAAAATTCTGAATGTGGAAATTTTATTTGATGAAAATTTGTAGAACTTTGAGAATTACACTGATTTCAGAAACAGCTTATTAGGATAACATACGGTAGCCATTCACTGAAATGAGCATTTCTTTTCTGTTAAAAGTTTGTGGGTTCTTATGCTCCAAATGCTTCACTACAACTACAATGATTTTTTTTTACAATGATATGCACTTAAAAGTGTCACGATTAAAAAAATCATAACAAATTATACAACTTTCCCTTTTAGTTTTGAATATGTCTGATCAGTAAATATTCTTTATTCTCTAATTCTTGAAAAAACAACCTCCAAGTTTGTTTTATAATTTTGCTGTTATTTACTAGTTTATGTAATCATGTAAATGCATTGTTACAGCTAACCTAACTTCACCTGTAAACATTGTCATTTTCTTAATACATTAATGACACAGTATATAAAATTTACCAGTCTTATACAAAAAAAAACGTATTAGCAATGTAACCGTACTTATCAGTAACTATAACAGAGCTATTTTAGTTGCTTCTTGGTTAGAAGTTAGCCATTAAAATGAGGTTTAAAAGGAATCAATTCATAAAATCAAGCTTAAAATTATGTATTCAGAGTACATTTTATTTTAAGCATCTTAAATAAGATATTATACAAACGGAAGCTTTCTACTATCCCCACTAAATCACATTCTGAAGTGAAAGGGAATAGCTGTGTACTCTGGCTTAAAAAAACATAATTTATTACTTGTTACATAAAACCCTGATCTATTTTCACTAGCTTTTCAATATTTAGGAAAAGTCTCTGAGATTTCTCCAGCTCAAGAAAGGTATACACATGTATTTCATATATACTGAACTAAATAAACTAATTTTCTGTAGGTATCTTGTACATCTAATTTATTCTGTGTTTGCTTTCACAGGAAATTCCTAAGAAACCATAAATTCTGTGAATGTAAAATAAAACTTAAAACTCTAAAATAGTTTTACATCATTAACAACTTTTAAGATTTGTAAATAATGTTTCTCAAAAATTAAGTTCATTGTGGAAATCTAATGAGTTGTATGATTGGGTTATTTTCATACACTTGAAAAATTTATATGGTATAAGTATGAAGATGATTAGTAAATTGGGAATGTTGTATGTACTAGCCACACACACAAGCATTCCTATAAAAGTATCCTATTCCTGAACATTAATACTTTTGAAGGAAGATTATTAAGTTAACTTAAAAATCAGTTAACTTATTAAGATAATTAATGGGAAAATACGTCTCTGAAAAACCTAGAACTAACAACCACAGAAAATTGGGCCTTAATGGTATATAAAAATTCTTAAGCAAACCAATTTAAAATATTAAGCTTATGTATATATATATATATACATGCACACAAACATCTTAATATTAAAATATTAAGCTTATGTGTATATATATATATATACATGCACACAAACATCTTACCTTAGGATCACTTAGATCAACATCAGCTTCTACATGAATCCAAGATGTATCACAACCTTCTTTATTTCCAGACACTTGTACATGTTTTTCTTCTTGTCTAAGGCTTTTATCTACAGAAGGTTCTACAGTAAGTTGTTCACAGACAGATTTCTGCCTTTGTGCATCACAGTGTTTCAAAGAAGGAATAGCAGACACTTTTTCTTTCTCACCCTGTTCAAGGAGGGAATTTAAATGTTGGATTTTTTCTGCTACAGATAAATTACTTCTATCCATAGTCACATCAACTAAGTTACAAGAACATGTGTATGTTACTACTGGTGAATTTTTTAGAAGATCATTATTTTTCTTTTCTCTCTCTTCCTCTGGAAAACTTGCTTGTTTAATTTGAAGTTGTTTCACTTGCACTTCTTTGATTTTATTAGTTTCACTTTTGTTTTTTTTCTTCACATAAACTGTAATTTCTTTACCTTTACTTGTCAATTCTCTTCTTGAAAAATCAGATTTATGGGGAGATCTTCTGGCATCTGAACTGTTACCTTTTCTTCCATTACCATTTAATCGTTGATGAGGTTGTCTGATTTGCTTTAATGCTCGATGTGAAGACTGTGACTTCTTAACACTGGACTGTCTTCCTCTAGCTAAGTGTTTTTTATCAAGATCTTGTTTTGAAGAGGAAGCAGAACAACTGCTTAGGTCTTTAAGATTTATATCACAAGTTGGGCTCTTTGCTACGTGTGACATCTTAGTTTTTTCAAGTCTGTGTATTTTTTCTTTACTACTAGAACTGACAGGACTTTGCAAGTCTAGATTCCTGGAAGCATCTTTATTTCTAGATTTTCTCGCAGGAATTTTATGCAGTTTTTTGGACACAACAGAGACATCTTGCATAACATTTCCTTTTGCATGTATACATTCTTGTGGTTTCTGTATCTTCAACGAAAAGCAACGGCTAACCTTTCCTTTTTGTGAATCCATACATACATGTTTATTTAATCTTTCCCCTGCATAATTTTTTCTTTTATCCTGATGCAAATTTAAGTCTTTATGGTAACCCATATCAGATTCATTGCTGTGAGATATAACCTTTTCAACTGCTACAGTATCTGATCCTTTTAGATCTGATTTATCTAGATTACTTAAAAAATGTTTGAATTCATCTAATTCATGGAGATTATGTGTTTCAATAATGATACACAAATTTTCTATATTTTGAGGCTGTCTATCTAAATTTTCAAATAAAGTCTGTTCTTGTGATAACAATGAAGCATGTGTCAATTTGTCTTTCTGCTCCAAACAACTAGGTGATACAGATTCTAATAAGCTTTTTGAAAAACTACCAAGACGTTTTGTAGACTGTTCTTGTGCCAGTAATGAATTTGTTTTGAACCTGTCTTCTTGTTCTGAAGTATTTACTAATTCAACTTTTAGTAGGCTTTCAGAAGAACCATCAAGATTGTCAGTGGATAGTTCATGTGTTAATGATGGACTTGTTATAATATCACCTTCTTTTACTGAACTATTCATTGATTTAGACTTTAGCAAATTATCTACAGAGTCATCAAAATGTTTAATTGAATATTCTTGTAATAATGATAATGAATTACCTTGTAGTTTTGGAATATTACACAATTCAGATTTTGGTAAATTCTCTGAAAATTCATGTGAATTTTCACCTTCACTTTTTTTGGATAATGATGTACTTATCATAGAAAGTTCCAGCACTGAAGCACTTATATACTCATCTTTTTGGAAATTATCTAACTTTCCTGTTTGACATTTCAAAAACTGTTTTTTAGGTAAATGAAAATATCTCACTGAATTGTTGTACTGTCCTGAGGAATTTATTTGCTCAGTTTCTACTAAACTATTTGGAAAGTCATCAAAATCTTCACTAGACTGTTTCTGTAATGATGATAGATTTTTCCAAGATCTGTCTTCCTGTTCTAGGCAAGTAAATGAATCAACTACTGGTATACTCTTTGGAAAATAATTTATATCATTAGTACAATGTTCTAGTAATAATGCTTGGTTGGTTGAAGGTTTATCTTCCTGTTCTGAATAATTTATAGGTTCAGATTTTAAACTATTTGGAGAATCCCTTAGATCTATAATGGTCTGTTTCTTCACCAACGACAAATCTGTCAAAGATTTGTTCCTGAGCCATAAAGAATTCTCTTTTGATTCAACTCCTGCTGAACCATTTAGAGTATTGTTTTGATCTCTAATAACCAGTGTTTTCATTAATGACAAATCTGTCAAAGATGTATTCTCCTCTGTTGGAAAACTAAGGTTCTTGGGTTCATCTTTTAGGAAATTGTTTGAAGAATTATGTAGAGCTTTGATGACCAGTTTCTGTGATATTAGTGTATTGTTTAGATATTTGCTCTCCTGTTTTGAAAAGTCTTTTGATTCATTGTCTGATAATTTCTTTAAATAGTCATTTACATCTTTAAAGGATTGCTTCTGTAACAAAAACAAATTTGTCAGATATTCATTCTGCTGTCTTGATAACTTTGCTAGTTCAGGTTTTGAAAGACTTTTTGGAATAAATTGTACTTGTAATAACAAGATGTGATTTAAAGCTTTCTTTTCCTGTTCTGAGGAGCCTACTGGTTTATATTTTGGTAAGATTTTAAGAGAATCATTCAGACTTTTAGTGGAGCCAAGAGGATACAACCTATAGAAGTTTCTGTAAAATTCTGTTGTACCAGTTTTTATGATTTTGTCTTCTTCACTGACATTAGTACTTGTTTCTTTATCTTGTAATTCTTTATCATCAAGACAATTATCAGTTTCACTTAGCCTTTCTCCCTTATTCTCTTGTTGATTCTGAAAATTGTCTGAATAGTTAAAAACAGTTTGAGGGTCAGAAACTGAAAAATTTGGGAACAACTCTAAAAAATTCATTTCCTTATTTTTTGACTTATCAAACAATACTTCACACTCTTCAAAATTCACATTTATATTATCTTTTACATTGCCTTGGCTAATTTCTACATGTTCATTCTCACAAAAGGAGCCATTACTTACTACATGTTTCTGATTATTGAACAATTTGGGATATTTTTCTTTATTTAATACGGCTAAAGAATCAGTAGTTGTTTCCTGGACAATACCACTTGTCCATAAAGCTTGATTACACAAATCCTCATGGTATTCATCTTCTGCTGTTATCTCATGGATTTGGCTGCATGGTTCCTGGTCATTAGGAGTGGATTCCCATGTATCATATGAACTACCAGCAGGTTGACTGACATCTTCCAAGGAAAGTTGAAAAGTCCAGTTGCCAATTTCTTCTTCATCATATACATTCTAGAGATTTTATTACACAATATTCACTATAGGAACATTTTTTGAAAATAATTAAAAAACAGAAAAAGTGTAACAAATACAGCAAGTGTAACACACAACTAAATGTTCAACATTAAAATTAACATTTGATTAAGTTAACAAAAAATAGAAAAAAAATAGTTGAGTTTAATTAATTTTTCAACCTGAATAAAACAATAAAACAATTTTGAATTAAGAAAGAAACAATCTAAATTTTTTTAATCAGAAATCCCTTTCAACAAAAATTAATAATAGTTTTTCTTAATATTTCCCTCAAACTACCAAACATTTCAAAATACATTTTTAAAATTAACACAGTTTTAATGAAGACTAATAATGTAAATAACAGCAGTTTTACCTTTTATATGAAAACTAAGATTCTTCCAAACAATAAAGTTTAAAAAGTTTGAAACTGAAAGCATTCTTTGATGATCTAAGATACACAAAGTTTAAATTAGAATTCACCAGCAAAATACCTGGAAAGTTTCATGCCATTGAGAATTATTCTGGTGAAGCCACTGCTGGACAAAACTCTGATGTTCCATCAAATCATTTTCATCTTCATCACTCAAGTTACAATACTTTAGGAAAATTTCAAATAAGAAATAGAGTTACCATACACAAAGTGGTTATAAGAATGATATAAAGTGGAATGTAAGAAATGAACCTTCATGAAAAATATTTATAAGAAAACAGAAACTATTTATTGCTTTTTTCTGCAAATATAGTATGTACAACAGTTATATTTTTGTACAGATAACCATTGTTTTATGATTGCATCAGGGCAGTGCTTCTGCTGACACAAGTGTCTATATTTTCAATATTATGTTCAATATTAATTTGCAAGTCATTAAGAAAACTCTTAAAATACAGCATTTTGAAAATAAGATATGAATAAATTGTTTTTTTAGCTCTGCACAACAGTGCTCAATACTGAAAAGATTCATTGGAATTGTAGGTTTGTAAATCGGATGTAAAATTTCTGAGCAAGTAATTTATTTTTTAACAACTAGTATTAAATTATTTTTGTGAAACTTCACATGTTATTCATGATTTAGTCCAAATTTGTTTACAATAAAGTACTGGTTTTTACATAAACAATAGTTTCCCTTCATTTGATATAATTTTTCTGGCCTTGTGGCCACAGTATTAAAAACAACCTCCTCAACCAATATAATACAATATAATCATATAATGTAAACCTTTTGTTAAAAATCTTTGAACTGAAATCTTCCTTTAACACAATATTCCTAATGCTAAAGTTAATGTTAAAGGGCCATCAGAGTGTAAAAAAAAGGTAATTTGGAAAATTTCCAGGTAATTAATCAAGAGAAAGAGATTGACTTCTTATTTTGTAGCAGAGCATAGCAAAATTCTTCTATCCATTAGAAGAGAGTATGTCTGAGACCAACCATGATGCAGGTGCTTCATATGCTAGCTAACACCTCTACAGAAATATCAAAGATTTCTCTACTCTTTTTTGCAACATTTTTTATTTGTTTTCAGTTTTTCACAAACATTTGTAAGTATAACAATGTTCTTTTGCTATTATTAAGTCTTTTTTTATATTTAAATTTAGTAACTTGCATTCTTAGTCATAAAACACCTTAGGCTTCTAATATCAGAGAATTCAAAATTTAGCTAGTTTCTTACAGATTTTTAAGTACAGATGAATAATATACATATAATGTTATTACTATTACTGCTTGACAACTAGGTATAAAATTAAGCTTTTACATTTTAAATGATATATGTAAGTTACAATTTTTAGACTATGACTTTCCCTTGAACATTTTAAACTAGCTACAACATGCTCATCACACTCTTTGCTACTAGAATGTTCTGAACCTGGATAGAACTGAGACACACAACATCAACTACTGTGAAAGAAGGATTCTTAGATGTTACTACTGATGACCTAAATCAAATCACATGTTTATGTAGCTATACAAAATGTTCTTTGTTTTCTTAGTCAAGTTGGAACTTCAAATTTCTTTACAAAGGTAAGTCAATGAAACTGAAAATTCAAGCAGTGTTCTTTAAGCACAATGCAATGTTAACAACTAATGGATAGCTAAATAAAGAGGCTAATTCCATTATGCAAGTGCTAAGTCCAAGACTTACTGTTAATTATGACAGAAAAAAACTTGCTACCATTAATGAAACATCAAAATGGTTTTACATCACATATAAATAAATAAATAAATACACATTGTCAAGTATGTCATTAGGTAGATAAAGCAACTTAATGCACTGATTGACAAATCTCTGATCATCAGTGCAGTGGTTTCAAAATGGGCCAACACCTAGTACATTAATCATGTTACTGAAAATTGCTTTTCATATATATTCTTTAATTAATTCAAATAAGTTAAAAGTTAAATGACTTTATCACAATATTTAACAGACTAAAATTAGATAAACATTTCTGCTTCATGAGGTCTATCTACTCCCTGATAAAATATGGAATAAATACAGAATTGTGTATCTGCTTTTGCTGTTCATTTTATTTTATAACCCTAAATACACAAATAGCAATGCTTGACATTTATATTATTAAACAAGTTACTTTTTTTTTACTTTGTTGAAAATTATGTTAAATCGTATCCATGTTACATACATGAATTGAGGCATAAGCAGGAATAAAAACAGTGTTATCTTAACAAGCACAAAATCCAAGCAGCAGGGCAATCAGATTATGCAGTCCACTATTTAGATGTGTACTAGTGAGGATTTTAAAGGATTTTTTTTCTAAATGAAGGCTCAAATTAGTGCTTGACTGTAACATCAGAGTAAAAAATTTTTTATTTGTTTTGAATAGCATAATATTTCTAAATGAAGAGGTTACAAGCAGCCATATCCAAATGTAATAACCTGGTAAGAACTAAAGTAAAAGTTCAAAAACTTGAAGAAAGTCAAACAAACAAACAAAATATTACAATAAAAAGTAAAGGAAAAGGTCATATGAAAGTAGACTTGTAATTTGAACTTACTGCTTTCATAGAATCTTTCCAGCTTAAGTTATGGTTCACTCTACTTTGCCTTTGTTTCACCAATACTCGACAATGGCTCCGTTGGAGTCCTGGCAAAAACTTTAAAGTAACAGAAGGTGGTGGGTAAAAAAGATTCTTGGCAGATGAATGTCGTTCAAGTGGTTGGAGATTTAGTCTTTCTTGGCCATGCTCACCACTAGGAAAAGCTAATTTCATATAATCATGAAATATGCAGTCTGTTTTCTCATTAATGTAAAGAAAAGAATCTGAAACGACCCTTCTTATGGAGAATGTATTCAACATAGTTGGATTTATTGGCCATAATAAACTTTGATGACATTCATGTCGAATACAGTTTTGGTCAGAACTACAAATAGAGTACTTTAGAAAAGAGTCTAAAGTCACATCCTGGTATGTATTGTAATTAACACATTTCTTATGAAGATGTTCATCTTCTACTTTGGAAATGTTAGTTGCTTCCATTTTGTTTCTATAGCTATTTGTACTTCCATTAGAAAAGTTTAATGTTGAGTCCCTGTCAAGTTCTACCTGGGTTTCTTTATGTACTTGTTGTTTAACCCTATTCAACACCAATTCTTTAAATGCCTTAGATCTAGGAGTACTTCCAGAAGATGACACTGAGAGACTACTATCACTAAAATGGAAGTCTAGACCAAGATACTGCAAATCAGTTGAAGTAGACTTCTCTGCAGTTTTAACTTGACAAGCACTGGGTAACTGAAGGGTTGGAAGAGCTATTCTTCTCATGTTATTCCGCTCTGTTTTATATCCCTGAGGCGTAAGCAGGCTTAAGATTTTATCATTGCTGGGTTCCAAGTTTGATAGATTAGACTGTGGTAAATTATTTTTCTCTTGATGATTGAAGGGGGAACATTTATTAATATACAACAAGTCCATTAGATTACTGTCTGACTGTTCTTTTTCAATTGCATCATTTAAAGTAGGAGAGACTCTAACTGATGGTTCTTTATCTAACAGAGGCACTGACGGTACATTTTGACTCACAGAACTATCCAATTCTTGTTCAAAGCCCATAAATCTATCATCTGCATTTTGAGATAGTTGTCTCTGGTCTTGAGGGTCACGGAGTAATTCAAACCCACTATCAGTTGATGACACCACTATAGAATCTAGATCCGCTGCACTGATTAAGTACTTTGGAAGAACTGGTTCTACAGTTAATTTTGAATCCTTGTTCACATCAGTGGAATTAGTTGTTATATTTGTGTCCATTTGTACATGACTTGGCAGGGTGAAATTTCCTTCATCTTTACTGCCATGTTCTGGTCCTTCTGCTGATATGGGGCCTCCATTTTTAGGTACAGTACCTGATAACCTAGAAGCTTGTCCTTCTGATGACTGGATAGTTTTGTCTTGTTTCTGGATTTTTTCTGAATGATATGTACACACATTTTCATTTAAAACTTTACCAGTTTCTAAACATTCTTCAAGAGATTGGAGGGGTGGAGAAGCAGGAAGCTGTTTTGATTGAAACTGTACTTCTGCTGTCTCAGATGAAAATCCAACATTTTTTGAAACTTCATATTTGGCACAACACTCAGTTATCTCTGTTGTTCCATGACCTCTTCTAATCACAGTATTAGTAAATTCTTCACCTAAAGAGCTTAGCTTTGGACTAGATTCATTTATAAACCAGTTCTCAAGAAGATTGTTTTTATTTGGAGAAGCTGAATATTTTGGACTTTCAGGAATTCTTAATGGGCTAGTATTTTCAGTTGGAAAATGTGGCAAGTCTACTTCTTCATAAACATTTTCACAAGTATCATGACGTTTTTGTTCTAATGCTGGAAAGCTAACACTGTGCAAGGTTTCACAATGAACAACATTTAAACTGGTGGGGCGTGGAATGCTGTGTTCTGATTTACAGATATCACTGTGTGTTGAGGCTAACTCTCTTGTAGGTATGGCAGAAAATGCAAATTGAAGTTCTTGTGGAAGAAAAGCAGAATGTCTGGTTACTGGTGATTTGCAAATACATGCTGTATTTTGAGTGATCTTTGTTTGAACAGATTGATTAGTTTGTGGGATTTGCTGCATGCTATTTTCTTTTGAAAATAACAACCTTTGAAAACTTGTCGTGTATGGAAGGTTTTCCAGAGTTTTAAGGTCTTCACTGGGGGTTTTCATGGTATCAAGTCCAGAAAGATCAACTGATTGCCTGCAACTATTTTGGCTATAACATGTTGGCTCTAGAGCACTTTTGCAATTATGCAGTAAAGGCCTAGAGCTGGTCAGGTCATTTTTTATTCTTTTTATAACACTCTGAGCTTTGGGTTTATGGCTTTCTCCTAATTCTATTTTTTCTGCCTGCAGAGCACATGTACAAACTTTATCTTTGCTACAACAGTCTGGATTAGAAAAATATGGAGCAACGTAAGCCAGGTGTTTAATCATACAGGATCTATTGAGCCCATAGGGAGTATTTGTCAGTAAAGATCTTGTTAGAATGTTTGACCTTGAGGTTGAAGGTACAGAACTATAACCTGTTATTGAGGGAGGATTTATAAGCCACTGAAGTGGGGAACTCATTTTTGGAAGTCCTGGATGTGAAATTATCTGAAAACCGAAACAAAATTTGTGTAATTCTAAATACAGATACATGTGCATGCTATCATTATTAACACAGCAATGTTGGTAACTTTAACAAATACAAAAAAAACATTGTTTAAAGCAAGAAATAACTATTTCAAAATACTATAATATAATACATTTCTTAATAATGTAAAATAAGAGTACCATATTGTGTCGGTGCCATTGAAACAAAACTATAAAGCAGGTACAGGTATGTACATTTTTATAACAGAACACATAAATAACTCTTACATTATAGCAACTGTTAATGAGTCATTCATACATACAACTGCAACTAAGGTTATGATTAAGTTGAATGTTAAAATTTGGAATGCGAAACGTAATAGATGAGTTGACAGTTATAACTCACACTCAAATATACATGTAAAAATAAATTTGAAAGAAAAGGACATTTATAAAGTAATAAGTCAAATACACATACAGAAAACCTGATAAAATGTAAAAAAAAAGGAAAACTTGCTTTCTGTATGAAGACTTTCCTTAATTAACGTTATAATTTTCCTATACTGAAAATGTATTTCTGATAGGTACTTCCCTTTTCTCACAAGATTAGCTATTCTCATTTATTGCTGCTCTCTATTTGCAAATTTTTTTATTATGCATGTTACAAGCAAGGAGGAATGTCGACTACTTAGACAGTGCAATGGGTGATCACGAAACCATATTTTGAAAAGCAGACCATACTGATTTATTCAATCAAGGCATGGCAGGGATGGGCAGGTATTCCCTTCTGCTTTACTCATGAAGTCGATGAGTGATATGGCCTGGGACGGGCCAATTTATGAAGCAAATATCATGAGGTTATATCCCTATAAGCAATCTTGTGAAACACCCCATCTCAAAGGTGAGCCATGCAGAGCCAGAGAAAGAAAGCACTATTCAACATGCTGTACAGTGCAGATTTAGAGTTAAAGAATACCTGGTCAGGCACCACTCGCCACAGAGTGGAATCCAAGTAATGAAGGTATGAGGATTGGGTCCCTGAAAGAAAATATATGATTAATAAAAACTTACCCGGTGTCAGAGTCACACCAAAAATTGGAGTATAGCAACAGGTGGAAGGCAAAAACCCGAGGAAGCCAAAATTGCGATATGATGTAAATAATGGGAGATGAGTGTATTAGGATTGGTCCACATGCCTGATTGGAGGATTTTCTCCAGAGGTCGATGAAGACGAAAAGTGAGGGAAAAGGTGAGGTGTCAGATATGATGAGAGATAACACAGTACAAAGTATGCTGGGAAGGGGACAAGGAGGAATAAGCCAACTGGATCAAACAACAAACCCAAAAGGTGAGTGTGAAAGGGGAGAGATCCCTGGATGAAGAGAGTTGCCAAGGGATAAAGAGATGGGAATGGGAATCACAGAAGGAAGGCATGTGGGCAATACAACAACAAAGGATAAGCACAAGACATAGAAGTGTATTTGGATCAGGACAGGGGTAGAGATGAAAAATAGAGGGTAGGGAAATAGGCAAAAAGGAGGAGTTACCCTCATGAGCTGCCAAGGCTTTGGGAAGGAAGGAGCAATCTGGATAAAGAAGAAGATAGGTATGGTGGTAAAGTTTGTATGTAACAACAATGGTGTACAAGTCAGACCATCAGTGCTCACAGGCTAGAATGAGAAGGAAATACGCCTTAATGGACAGGTGAAACAAAGAACATGAGGATATAGGTTCAACTGGAGGTAAAGCAAGGGAATGGACCACATTAATATCCCAATCTGGAGAGCAGATCGCTGAGGAGGGTGATGAATCCAGAAGGAATGGATTAAGAGAGTAAGGATGGGTGAGAGAAAAATCCTGTGGTAATGGGAATGATGAAAGGTATGGGATAAAGCTGGCCAATAACCTGAAATTGAGGAGACTGAAGACCTCCAGTCAAAAGCCACATGAGTAACTTGGAGACACCAGGAACAGGAGGAAGGACAGATGAATTGGGCCAAAGGAGAAGCTACATGATGGAAGAAATCATATCTCCTTGCCAAGGGCCAGACAAAAGCCAGGCGTGAAGATGGAGAACATGAAGTGTGGGATGGAGAACTGGTGATCAGGGTTCACGAAGGAGGTTGGGAAATAAGGGAAGTGGTACTGGAGGGAATAATTTTAGGTGGAGTAAATGAGGAAACCATAATTGAGCTAGCCAGTAGGGAGCGATCAGAAGGACCCGGCACTGAGTGGTATAGATTAGGGATGAAGTAATCGGATAGGAGGATAAACATATAGGAATTTGTGTGCCCAATCCTGGCTAAAGGCATCTGTAGCCAAGGCCCAAGGATGAGGAACTGAGGACCAAAATATGGGTAACTGGTGAATGAGGACAGTGGGGAATGCATCGATGTGAGGAGCACCCCACAGACTGCAATGCCACTGAAAAACAAGAGGATAAAGAGACCACACTGTCGGGGTAGGAAAGATGATCTGCCACGAGGTTGAAAGCACCTGGGTCATGACATGCAATTAAATGAATGTGTTTTGCATGCGCCCAAGATAGGAGATCCAATATGCAAAAACAGAAGGATCTTCACCAAGCATTACCTTGGTGACTGATATGAGCCACCACCGTGGTATTGTCAGAATGGATCATTGCTAGACAATGTTTCACAATGGGAAGAAAGTGATCCAAAACCTGATGAACAGCTGGGAGTTCTAGGATGTTGATATGTTAAGATTGTTTGTCTAGAGACCCACGACTTGAAGCCTCCTGGTGATCGACCCACACACCCCAGCCCTGAAGGGATGCATCCATAAACAGATGTAAGTCCGGACAAGGAGGAAGAAGCGGGATATCCGCTTATGTGTGAGTCTTGTCCAACCATCAAAGGAGATCATCTGCAAGTGAAGGAGGAAGGGTGATGGGAATATCTAAGGGATTCTGTGCAAGGTTTCATTGATCTTGCAGAGTCCAATGAAGGGAGTGTGCATGTGTGGACAACTGAGGGGGATCAGTGGTGTCATAGAAGACCACATCCCCAAAAAGTGACAGAACCTCGCCTGCAGAAAGTGAGGAAGCAGACAGGGCGTGGCAAATAGACAATTTCATAGAATGGAGTCTGAGAGAAGACAGTTGGGCCAGACTTTAGGTTAGTGTTGGAAAAGCACCCAAATGTACAAAGTATTTGGTAGGATTTAGGAAGAACTTCTCCAATTTGATCAACCAGCCTACCCGAGCAGCTTCGAGAAGAATTTGAGGAGTATTACAGGCTGACTCCTGTTTGGAATGGGCTAGATGTAGCCAGTCGTCCATGTAAAAATGGAAATGCAGCTTCAGGGCATGAAGATGAAGAGCAAAAGCTTGTACCACCCGACAGAAAATGTATGGAGCCCAAGCCAAGCTGAAGGATAGGGCATGAAATTGGTATACCACCCCTTGATGGATGAACTGAAAATAAGGACGAGACCATTCCGAGATTGGAATATGCAGATAGGCATTGGAGATGCCTATCTTGGTCATCCATAGACCTGGAGAAAAGTCCACCAAAGATTCAGGTAGGACTCTATGGTGAAACGTGGTAGGTGAACAAAGTAAATAAAAAGGAACAGATTAATGACAGACATCCAATCCCAGTGTTTTGGGTAATAACAAACAGACAGGAGTAAAATCCTGGTGAATGTGGAATAGGTTCTATAGGCTGTTGGGTGATAAGGTCCTGTACTGCCTCTGACAGACACTGGCAAGTTACTGGATCCTGAGAAGAAGGGAAGGAAACAGGTACCTGGGACAAGGGAGGTGGGGCAAGAAACAGAATTTCGAATCTTTCTGACAAAACCTGAAGAATCCAAACATCCGAGATTAAAGGGCACCACCAATGAATGAAGGCTGCATGGCAAGCTCTCACTGGGCTTGAACCCACCAGGTAGTCACCAGAACTGTTGGCAGCATATTGTGCATTGTTGAGAAAAAACGGCAAGCAGTGGTAATGCAGAAAGGATGACTAAATAAAGGGATCAGAAGGAGAAGGACAGGAAACTGAAATAGGTGCCATACTTGGCTCTGACTGAGATAAATGGGAAAGTAGATGGGAAATGGTAGGTTGTTGCTGGGCAGATGCCACCCAAGACTCGAAGGATTCCAGGACTGTATCAAAGATGAAACATCTTAAAAATGGAGCCATACACAAATCCCGAAGATAAGGAACAGGTAAATGGGTTTGAGATAAAACAGCATCACGAACTAAAAGGTCCCAACAACAAAAGTACAATGTTTGTAAAGCCAGAGCCAAAGACGATATATGAGCCAACATGGAGGTAAGGAGGGAGAGGGTGTCCCCAGAAAACCCCTCGGGATTTCTGTGAAAACCTCAGACAGGAGATGGATATTGGAAAGGTACCACAAAAGGGTCGTGAGGGTAAGACAGAGGTGGGAAAATTGAGCATGGGTGAGACTAACGGGAGATACACGGCCTGCAAACAGGAAAAAACGAAATCTAACAGCTGTTAGTCGAGAAATGGACAGTCCACCCTATGAAATGCATGAAATAATCCAAAGTTCGTGGGGGGATGAGGCATACTAACACCATTGCCTGACTGAGAAGCAAACTGGTCAGGGGATAGGAGAAACACCAAATAGGGTTGGGAAGTATGTTCAGGCAATAACAAAGAACACGGGTCATAAGATATAGAAGCAAGGAATAAAATATAACATACCTGAGAAATAAAGTCCGAAAAAATCATGGATGGCTGAACAGAATCCTCAGGGAGTGTATGGTAAGGCATGGCAAATCAGGAGGTGGAAACAGGCAATCAAAGTCCTCATCAACCTGACCAAGTTCCACAGGTTCAGGAGGAAGAGGGGCAATGTCTGGAGATAAAGGTTGACCCATATAATGTTCAATCTCCCTGCAAATAAATGTAGACAAATCTCCTCTCTGATAGCCAGCACCTGAATCCTGTGTGACACCCGAGGTGGTGATGTAGTCAACAAAAGTGTTTGAAGTAAATAAGAAATAAGACTAAAATAAGGGTAAGTGAATTGAAATAATGACAAAAAACTAATATTTTAAATTAAATTAAACCACTTCGAGAAAATAGAATCTCAAACGCTGCCAAATGAGAAGTGATGGTTCGGTAGAGGTGCATAGAGATTGGTGGATAGGTGATAAATGATGATTTACATGAGAGACATATTGGAATCATTCGATTCCAATAGGGGTGTGTGGAAAGCTTGTGGCATGTGTAATAAAAAAGTTTGCATATAGAGGGCAGCAATAAATGAGAATAGCTAATCTTGTGAGAGGAGGGAAGTACCCTATCGAAATTACTACAAGATCCAATGAATGACCCAACATTAGTAAATTTCAGACTACACATTTAAATAATGTACCTTTTTTTATGTTAATAGCATAACACAGGTTTTTTGGTTCAGACTCTGAAGAGTGAATTTTTGAAATAATTTCACATTCAAATTATTTTATTCATAGAGACTGTGAAAAATTAAATTAATTATGCAAACAGATTCAAAGTTTTCTTAAAGTAAACTTTTCAAGAAGTTCTCTGTTGATTAGAATAAATACACATTTCTTTTATTAAGCCACAGTACGTGTTTCTTGGATAACAGTTATTGATTCTACTTTATCATGTGACAAAAATCAAATACTTCTCTGACTTTATCAAACACATGATTAGGTAGATTTGTTATTGTGAATTTATAAAATAAGTTTTAAAAACATAATAATGACCAAGTTGAAATGCCATGTTTATAATAGACAAGACTAGGAGAAGAATACTCCATTATCTCTCTGGTGATTTCTTCTGTATTTCCAATTCCATTACTGTTTTCCAGCAAAACAACTACTACAAATTTTGCATATAGTTCCCTATTTCTCATCAAAAAATACTTTAAAAACATACTTCACTTAATTTTCACTCAAAACTTTGAGGCCTTTAGGGGATAATGAACCATCTGAACAAACATTGACCATTCACAGCGTTGCGTCAGCGAGGTCACATGACTAGTGTCACGCCACGTTTCTAGAACTATCCCGTTCCTTCGGGAGTGCTCTAGCATTTACTAGATTGGGGTTGGGGGGGGGGGTGATCTGGTATATATAATAATAGCTGGTGTCGGCTTGAATGGGTAATGAAGAAAAACTTTATATAAGTTTAACATAACAGCAACTTATATTAAAGTTTTTCTTCATTACCCATTCAAGCCGTCTCCAGCCATTATTAGTCTAAAAGTGGGTTCCTCGTCATGAACTGGTATATATAAGATGGTCACGGCGTGACGTGTTAATGTGTGTGTGTAGACAGTGAGTAATTGATCTGCAGTCAGAGAGTACTATTGAGCACGTTCGTTGTTATAGCATTTGTTTTAGCGTGATTGTTGAAATTAAGTGTATCGTAAAGTTATATTCGGAAAGAATAAACCAGTTTTATTAAGTAAGGACTTGTGTCGCTAAAGTTTCGTCGGAACGAAGTTACGGAAAATTAATTAACAAATGGAGACGTAACAAATTGGTGTCAGAAAGTGGGATAAAAAAAAAAGAAG